TGTGAGCAAGCTGGCACTCGAGCTCGGCCGGCAATGACGTTCTGGAGGCATAGGGATGTCCTGGGGGAAGCTGTCTCCCCTTGATTGTCCCCTCCAGCGGCGTGATGTCACCATCCGAGCCGTCGTATCTTGCAGATAGAGGGTCGAGGCCGCGTTCCCCGCCCTTGGAATCCAATATATTGGCGCTACCGCCCATAGCGACACACATGGAGCCACAAGAGCAGTTCCTGGCAGCGACTGCCTGGAGGTGCTTCACCCTGAGGTTCAAGAGGTTCTTATACCGGTGGCACTGCTGGTGGACGATGCGCTCAACCAAGTAGTTGTTGGAATCGGCCAAGAGAGGGTTTAGCTTCAGCACATGCTGCTGGAAGCCCGCCAGGTTAGGTGTAATACCGTCCATAAGCTTGTTCGACTCGTCCTGCATATCTCCGTCTTCGTACAAATCGTCCTCATCATCATCGTCATCGTCAGCTTCGGGAGCATTCGCCTTGGTGTTGGGCACGGGCGGCCCGCCACTCCTCTTCCACAAGTCGACGATGCCGGATGTCTCCGACTTGCTCCGAAGGCGGTTCAGTGGCTTCTTCACGCTCAAGTTACGGCCGCTCGGGCTCTTGGGCGAGGTGATGGGCGTTGCGCTGACGGAGCTTGCTCGGGAATGAGTGGTGCCAAGAGAAGCGATCCTGTTTCCAACATCCAAGAACGCGGTGTTGATGCTCGGCACGCTCTGTTTCCTGGACCATCCCGGCTTTGGACTTGGGGGTGCGAGCTTGGCCTGGTTTTCCTTCTTCTCTATGGAAGACACTGTCACGAAGGAGCTTGCGTCGTCGGGGTCAGGGCGATTGCGTTTGCCCGAGTTGATGCTCGGCTTCCTTACGAGGCCGCGGATATTCTGGAGAATACTTGGCCTTCGCGTATCCCCCCGGCTAAGCGATAGCTTTTTGAAGAGGTTGCCGGCCACTTGGACTTCAGCATCCATGATGCTGGGCAAGCTGAGCCGTCGGGTTCCCCAAGTGGCAGCTCTCGACACGATGGAATCGTTGTCCCGGCACATTCGCTGATATTTCTCGATGGCGGCCTGAGAGCTTTCCGGCTGATATGGTGTCGAGTTTGACTGGGAAATGGAGAAGGGAGAGGGCGCATCTTCCCATACATGGCCTTGGCGCATGATCTCCAAATCCTGGTGGGTGAGTGTGAGTGCGCCTCCGGTTTCGACATAGTATGTTTGGCCAGGCACTTGTTTATTCTCTGTCCTATCGCCCGTGGAAATCTCTCGTTGGGGTATGTTGTCGTCCTCGCCATCATGATTTGGCACATTTGGTGCATTTTGCGCAACCATCGATTGCTCCCCGCGATGGGGGGTGGAATGGGAACGTGACCTTTTCAACCACTCATTGACCTCCTGATTGCGCTCGTCTAGATCTCGCTGGGCGGCCAGGTCGTTGACACTTTCGACCTGAGTGGTGGAGCGGGCCGTAGGATCCAAGCCGCCTTGCCCAGTGGCTTGGTTGGGGATCCACCGGCCGGTGCCATCGCGGTCTGTCGCGAGGGCGGGAGTGCCGTCACCCTGTGGTTGGTTGGTGTTCGGCGCATGGGATACTCCGAAATAGTCCCGATCCCAATGGGATACTGTAACACGAGGACTCCGCATGACGGTAGTTGGGGCAGCGCCGTCGTCGCTCGATTTGGTGCTGTCGCTGGTCTTCGGCGTTAGCTGGAAACCGGAGAGATTGCCGTCTTGCCCATGAGAGGATTGGTGCGCGAGCGACAAGTCTTGTGGCGCGATCGAAGTCCGGGTAAAGGCTGGAAACATGCCACGCGTGGTCGCGTCGTCCTTGAACTGCCCGTTCGGTGAACCCCCAGGTAACGAAGGGCTCTTGTCGGGGCTCAGGGGCAAGTAGGGCACGGCTGGGCGCGCATGCTGCGTGCTGGCGGGCGCAACTTGAACACCGAGGCCGTCCGCAAGTGGGCCGTTGTCATTAAAGGTTAGGATCTCGTCGTCAAGGAAAGATGGCGAGGCACTGGTAAGAGGGTCGAAGCTAACGCCGAAGAATGGATCGTCTGCCTCTGTGAACTCGCTCGACTGGTAGTGGACGCTAAGGGTGGATACCGAGTCGGCGGGGGTGTGGGCATTTAACCCTGGAGAAGATGAGGTGCTATCGAGCTGTGGTGAGAAGGGGTTGAGGTATTGGGGAAGTTGTGGTGAGGTATTGCGGGGTTGTTGCTCGGTGTCGGGCCCGGGCGGATAGAAGGTATAAGTCGAAGACGACATGTCTGCAGCGGGAGATGCAAGTGGCTGCGCGGATAGGTATATATTGTATCCGGGGGCGATCGCCCCGATGCTCTCTGTCAGAGAGCAGGGTGCGGGATGCAGTGCGCAGTCCCCGGATTCTTGACGTGGGGAGGGAGGGAGAATGAATTAGGCGACAATCATGGGCAGGTGCGGCTGCGCGCGGCGGGGTGAGGCACGAGCTGAGAACTGGGCTTGGGTTGCTCCGTGACCGGTTGCGTTCCTGTTCGACAAGTCGAAGCTAGAAAAAAAAAGAAGGAAGAAAGAGTGGCACAGGGAACAAACCACGAAACAAGGCCTTGTCGGATATGTTGGAGGTAAGAGAATGGATGGTAGTGAGGGGGAGCCAGTTGAGTAGTCCCAGCTTCGCGAAGTCACGCCCCTGCCCACGGCTTCGAGCCGCCTCGCTTGGCGCTAGAAGGAAAAATGGGGGTGAGGCGCAGGGCGGCTGCGGTCCCTGACCTAGCCCAGGTAAGGTGAGTTGCCAGCGGGCGCTTCAAGGGTTCGGGCAACAGACGCAGATTTGGGTCGGCAAATGCTAGTGTGGGAGGCCAATGACGCAGTGAGAAGAAATGTGTAAAGCGGTGATGAATTACCACACGACGAAAACCGCTTGCCTACAGATCCCAATAACTTCCTTTTTCTCACCGAGGAGAGCACGCTGGGTTATCTGAGGTAACCTGCATGACCCGGCATCTAATCAGGGCGAGGGAGGTGTACCTGAGCAGATGGAAATGGCGGGAGCGGAGCCTACGGTATGCCTATCGTGTACTAGTAGGTCGCTGTCCCGATTTCTCGGTGTAACTCCCCCATCGACGTGATATCGAACTGCGAAGGGTTGAAATCGCGCGTTCAAAGCCACGGAAGAGAATGCCCGCCGTTCCGCCTCAAGGCAGCAAGGCCCAGAGGTAGTAAATCGGGAATTTGATTCGCTCGTGTCGGGGCGAGACTCTTGCTTTCGGTCCGCAGTCTCTTGGGACTCGAGTTGTTGTCCGTCAACCTCAAACAAGCATCAAGCAGCTCATGATTGGCGCGTGTGAGGCTTGAAGAAGCTTTATTGAGGCTGTGCTGGTGTTTGCTGACTGGCAGAATGATGGGCAGAATTGGAAGACCCCGCGGTTCACGGAATGTGGGCCCTGTTGGCTGTGGGTATGGACGTGCACTTGGGGTGGGTTGCATTCGACAAAGCATTCTGGAATTTCCAGGTTGGGGGTCACCACTTGCACAACATCGGAGGGGAAAGCGGGTGCATCGAAGGCAAGGCATTCTGCCCTGTGCATCATAAACTGCCCCCGTGCTCCGAGATTCATACTCTCGAGCTTGGTGCAATATTATTTGTGCGACTGAACATTCCACGATATCTGTCGGCGCCAACCCTGGATGACTTGGCGAGGATCATTGCAGGCCTCCCTTGAGCTTGAAGCTTGCTCTCTTTTCTGTGGAGGTTTAGTTAGTTAACTAGTTAACTAGTTGTCTGTTTAACTTCTTACATCAGCATTCTTTCCGTCTCGAAACAAACTCCTAATGTCTTCCGTGGAAGATGCAACGCTTGATAATCTGCACCGAGATGCTGTCCCCTCGGTAGTCATGGAGGTAGTCCATATAGCTTGAGTGCCCGATTTTATTGTGTAACAACGGTACTTGTTGTGGGTGTTCAACCAGCACAGCCCCGAGGCGCTGCCTCGCTTCCATATCAACATCCCGCCCCAATGCTGCGAGAGTTTCAAGCCCGCACTCTCTTCGCATGCCGCCGATGCCGTGTTTCCGACCCCGCGCTCAAATTATTTTGCGTTCGAGTGTTTGATGATAAATGGAATCTTCGGCCCCCCAATGTCTGTAGAGCATTGACTCTTTAGTCATTGCCGACATCAGGCGAACCATCACCTTTCTAAGAATATTCCACCTGGAGAAAACTGCCTTGAGTTAGAGCTCGTTAGACCAACTGAGAATACAGTTCCAAGTGTAGGTTTTTAAATACAAATCTATGTAGGTAGGTAGTTTAACTCAACTCTCGCTCTGAACCATATTTGTAACCATGTGATTTACGCTCCGGTATGACGAGATCAACCCCACACCTCGGCCTCGGCACCTGCCGTGCTCCGTGCTCCGGCAAGCTGGCATCTCAGCTCATCAATGGGACTCGCACCTCCACGGGGTCTGAGGCCAGGTGAGAACAGCTTCTTGACTAACAACATCAACAACTCGCCATTAGACTTCAATCAAATACAAAATGGTATATACACCAAACATAATTACGGTCGATTCCTGCCACTAACATTGCGTGCAGGGCCTTGAACTCCCTTCCTACATTCTCGCGGCGCTGACGGCAACCGGTGGAGCCATTGGATATGCGAAGACCAAGAGCAAACCCAGCCTGATCGCGGGGACGGCGGTCGGCCTTCTTTGTAGGTCATCTCTGTTTACTCTTTCTGGCCATCCGCGATTGTGCCCGAGGCAGAAGCAGCATTTCCGCTGACCCCATATCTCTGCACCAGACGGCCTCGGCGGCTACCGTATCGACACCAGCGCGCCCTACGGCGTCGAGCTGAGTCTCCTCGCGTCCGTCGTCCTGGGCGGGTCTGCGTTCCCCCGGGCGATCCGGCTCCGGAAGCCCGTGCCTATTGTGCTGTCGTTGCTCGCGGCGTACGGCCTGTTTACATTCGGCGATGCCTTCCGCCGCACCTTGTGAATGGAGAGTCGAGTTCGCGGAGGGGTTGATGAGTTCTGATCCGGCGGGATGAAGAGGAAATATCATAATCATACAATCTGGAAAGGCCGCGGGCTATTCGCAGCTCCCATCATGTTATACACAGCTGCCGCTTGCTGAACGTGTGGTATCGTACAACGAGTTGCGCACGTCGCCCTTCTCCTTGTGCTGCAGCGTGCAGCCTCCCTCATCCCTCCTGTATCTGCCACTCGACTATGCCGGCATCGAAAAAGGGGTATCACTCGAGAAACCGGTCGCAATCAACGAAGAAGAGGGCGTCTAGCTGTTCTCGTCGATTTCTTTCCACATCTGCCGTATCTTGGACCGTTTGTCCTGGACTTCACTCCGGTTCAGATTCTGATTCCTGATCCGCTCCTCTCGCAGGCATGCGATCAGCTGCTTTTTATTGTTATTGCACAGGCCGACCGCTTTCCACATGAAGCCCTTTGCGTGGCATTCCTCCAGCGCAGCCATGACCTGTTCGCACCCTGGTTCCAAACAAGTTAGGGCTGATAAGGCGCTGCGGTTGGTTGAGTAATGCATGACCCACCGGTATTGTCTTTCGTAAAAAGTAGGGGATGCATTGTGGGCAGAGCGTCAAAGGTTCAGAACGGTACGTCGTGTGAAATTTGAAGAAGAGGTTTCCTTTAGAAACGATGGGGCAAAACCGTACGATTTCGTCACGAACTTCCGAGTGGGAACGGCCCGGGAGCTTTGGCCAACCGAGCCCGTTTTGTTAGTGGGTTGCCCCGCTCATCCGCAGGAGCCACAGCGAGCGACCTTATCAGACTCTGGTGGGCTGGCGGGGCATCGACACTCGTCTCCAAACAACGTCGAATCTCAAAAAGGACGATCTCGGGGCTTTTGTCGAATACCACAACCATGGCATCTCAAGCAGCACCAGCCAAGAGGCAACAAGGTAGCCAATCTCTCATAAAACATTCTGGCAGGTCCGATTTCTGACTTGTTATTTTTTTGTTACAGACCTCCAAGTGCAATACAGCACTTACAAAAACACACTGCAACAGATAGCTCAGAAAATCGGCGATGTCGAGCAAGAAGCTGAGGAGCACAAGTAAGGATAGCTTGATCTTTGAGTTATCACCAGATGTCGGCGGGAACAGGTTATTCTGGGCCTCCGATGTCCCCCCGCTGGCGTTACATGCCTTGGCCCTTATCACACCGCTTGACGCCGCTTTCTCACCGCTCATCGCTAACCGCGGCGACAGGCTGGTTCTTGAAACCTTGGAGCCGCTTCCGGGTGACCGCAAGTGCTTCCGCATGATTAATGGCGTCCTTGCGGAGAGGACCGTCAAGGATGTCATCCCCGCTCTCCGGACGACGGCCGAAGGGCTGAAGAAGGTCCTCGATGACCTTGTGAAGCAGTACAAGACCAAGCAGGATGAGCTTGACAAATGGAAGGTATGCGGAAGGATTCCTCGTTTGTCCTACTGCATCATCGTGTCTGACCTTCCCCACAGAAAAAGAACAATGTCCAGGTTGTGCAGTCATGAAGCGCAGCAGCAGCTCAGCCGAGGGTTTCAGAAGCCAACCTAAACGCCATGCCCTCACCAGACACTAAGAGCATGGCCAACTCGTTTGAACCCAGCGGGAGAACGGAGTTTTGGAAACACCCATGCATACTGTGTAGACTGGATGCCTTTTGCATACCAACTAGGTATTTAGGAGGGGAAAGGCGCCCCGCTGTCCAAACAGTCACACGCGGGAAAGGAACCCGAACATCCCAGCAAAAACAATATGCCTGCCGGGAGGAACGACACCTCGAAAATCTTTCTCTTTCCCTTGACGAAAGGTGTGCTGAGTTGTACAAGACAGGCTGTCCGTGCTGCAGCCTAGCGGGATGGTCTGTTGTTGCGATGCCCAACCGGCAGCCAGGCCAGACGGTTGGGCTGTGATGGGATTGGGCATGCGGTCTCAAAGTGGGGTTGGCCGTGAGATGGCTTCCTGAAACTTAGCAACAATCGAATGACGAAGAATACGAACTCATCTGGTTGGTGACGTCCTCCGTCCGTCCTCCCACAAACGCCCGTCTTGTCCTTTTTACGTCAAGGCCGACGTCCGCGGGGGCGTCGTTGGAACGGTGACTGCCCCAGGCTCCCCCGGAGAATTGAAGATCTTTAAGTCAGCCCAGATCTCAGAAAACAGTCGCTTCTCTCCAATAAGATACCGAATCCATCTCTAAATTCCCTGATTGGCTTAAAATGAAGGAATTTCACACCACTCACGCCCCCGAATATCAAACCTCAACATATTGATCACTTCAGCCGTTCAAGAGGGGAATCCCAGCCACCGTCACCATGACCCCGGGCCGCCTTCGAGCCCAGTCACGAGCCAGCCTTTTCGGCCCAAGCCCATCCACTGGACCCATTAGGCTCTTCGCAGCCTTCCTGTTCCTGCCTGCATCTGCCTGCATCTTGACTTGCGGGAGGAATTGTCGAATCAATCACCGGCCTCCCCCACCACCTTTGTTCCCCCATCGATGGAAAGTAGGCGCCAAGAGATCCTTGGCGTCTCGAGCCCACGACATCATCACATCGATGGCGGCCAATTTCTTCACTTTCGAGCTGTCACCCTCGGCGAGATTGAGCTAACGACATGTGCTGAAACAGAAGAGTCGGAGTTCTCATTACTCATCGAGCGTATTTCCCGGCACAGCTGAGCCGATAGATTACTTTCACCGCTCCTAGCGGGTGAAAAGTCTGTGTTGCAGCAGACTAAGGTAGCCACACCCGGGCTTCAATGTACATTGACCGGTCACTTCCCTTGGCAGCAACGCTTGCTTCTTGCCGTTGGGGCCATGCATAGAGTACCATTGGACGTTTCCGAGATACGAAGCGTACCTTGATACCGAGGTAAACCAATGTGGATTGTGATGGGAGCAAAGTGCGAGGCAAGGTTGTCTCGAAGGTCGGTCACAATGTCAGTTAGTTTGCCCCCGCATCAGAATGGTTATCCGGCTGAGCCGATCAATTTGAGAGGACATAAAAAAGTGACACAAAATATCCCCGACGTGGGCTCGCGGGGGGTAGAAAAGAGATAAGTCGTTGGGTTTAAAAAATAACTGAGAGTATCTGAGGGCAAGAGATGTCGACAGGATGAAGGAAGTACTCGGTACTTCATTGGCAAGGTCCTGCGGAAGCGCGCTCTTGGCGCTGGAGCTTGTCGCCGTGGCCGGGGTAGCTGGATCAAGACCCGCTTCTCCCGTGCAATCCCTCTTTTCACCCCAACCTCCATCTTCCACCGTAACAACCCCACGCGCGTGTGCTGCAGCCTCTTGCATCCCAGTTTTCCCGTGCATCGCAGGGCCCAAAGCCGACACTAGGTTCGCGGCCAACTCGGACACCGCCCACTCGGACCAAACACACTTCAGTATTGATGCAAGACCAAGCGACAAGACAAAACGGGCCCATTTAATTGTTGTTTCTCGCAGACACGGTCACTGGTACCAGGACCCCAGGTATGTCTGGTAGGCCATGTGCGCGTGACGTGGAGCGCGGCGCATCGCAGTGCATCACGGCGCCAGTAGCGGGGACTGCACCCATTCTTGCCTGCTGGACTCCGCTTTCTCGTCACGCAGACACTTTGCAAACCTCCCACCCCCCGGGCGAGCACCAGTCTCTGACGCGACGCTACAGATTATCCCACGAGGCACGCAATACAAGCAATCAAGACCGTGGCAGCACAGCCAATCTTCTGTCCCCCCGAACTCGAAGCCGTCCTGCCCGGTGCCGAACTGCACCCAGCCAACCGTTTATCGCATCGCCAGTCTGGTGTAACCGCGTCACCATAGAGCGAGCACAAACAGAGAGACACCACGCGTAGCTCGAACCGGCAGCAGCAGCAGCAACACGGAACACAGCCAGTCGGCCGATCGGACCACTCACTACCTCTGACTTGGTACCGACCTCTCCTGCAGTACCGGCAAGCCTAGAGAATCCTGCAAGCAGGGCGATCCGGCGGGCAGCAAAGAGACACTCCTAGGGTGCCGCTTTCCTTGTCGACCACTCACTCGTGGCAGGACCCGCAGTTCCGCATCCCACACCCCTTGCGCCCACCCACCGGTGCGGCTCACCCCACGATACCCCATCCAGGGTTCGCCCAGCCAGTCTCGGCCTCGTTGCCGGCCGTCATTGCCCACCCCTCTTTGTGCCCCCCCCCCCTCGCAAATCTGGAGATGTAAGGGAGGTGGTGGGGCGGGGATCGGTGTGCATTTGATTTGCCCAGCCCCTGAACCCACGGATAGGGGTGCGGGGTGCTCTCTCCTGAGGGAGCAGACGCATCGACGACAATTCGGGCAGACGCCAATGCAGTTCGACTACATACTCCTGTAGATCGTGAACAATGCAGAGCAGGTTATCACGATCCCGGTCTTGCGTAGATCCAGAGAAAACATTAAGACACCCCGTGCTCAATTTTTATTCTGAAATTGCTGACGCCAGACTGGCATGGCGGACGCGTGGAAAGACCCACCATTCATAGGTAAACAAGCCTGGGATCGTAC